GGGGGGGGGGGGGGGGGGGTATATAAACAGACGCGAAAGTTGAACAGGCCTTCAGAGCCACAACTTAAATCCAGGAAGAGCAGGGAACGACGCTGCTGGTGGGTCGACGCAGTGGATGGGGCTCCGGACCAGTACGATCCACACACATCGTTCCCTGCTCGAAATAGTGAGTATTGAAAACAACGTAGATAGACTAACGAGTAGAATCAAGGATTAGACTTGTTTTCATCATCTGAAACTTTAAAAGGTATACCGCAACATGCATACTATCAAATATACATACATGTACTCATATTTCGAATTTGTGTATGGTGATTCAAAACATGGAGAAACATTGCCGTTGGTCTACAGCTGGTCGAATGTACGACGTGCCCGCTACGTCCTTAAAGAGTTAAAATAAATAGAAACATGGTGTGAAACAGATCAAATGTTGTTAACAGGGTGGGGTGGGGCATAGGTTTGGAGTGGGACCGGGAGATGGTTGGAGGGGGGAAGGGATTCAGTGGGGAGGGGTGTTCGGGGTTGGGGGGGGTACGCTGGGCGATAGGGGGAGGAATGGTGAACGGTAGGAGGTGTGCAGGTGTGCTGGTGAAAGAAACGAGGGGAGGAGGTGGTAAAGGGATGGTTGGGGGGGGATGGGAGATAGGTGAATATACAGAGGAGGAGAGGGGAGACGGCAGGGGGAGAGGGGAGAGATACGGGAACGATCAGGGGTAGGGAGGTGGCTTGTGTGGTTCAATTTAAACTGGGTTCGCCCTCAGCAAATGGAAAACACTAGTAAAAGCTGCATTCGGCAACAGCAGATGTGCATAATAATACCAGCATGAACGTCCCCTTAAAGCACTCACTGACAGGTTTTACAGCGCTTTCAAGGCCACGTGACGTACTCTCCACAGCGGACATAGTTGTCCACAAAGGTCCGCCGGTCTTCACCGAGTCCGAACGTCACAGACTCCTGGCAGCCGTTAAGTGGGTCAACCAGGTCAGTCACGGAATCTAGGTCAACCTCCTCTTGAATACATTCTGATATTGTTTGGTGGAAATTACGAGAGCTATCTTTGCACGTGTCTGTATCTTTACCTGGGTACCTGTGTCTGTCTCTGTATCTTTACCTGGGTACTTGTGTCTGTCTCTGTATCTTTACCTGGGTACCTGTGTCTGTCTCTGTATCTTTACCTGGGTACTTGTGTCTGTCTCTGTATCTTTACCTGGGTACCTGTGTCTGTCTCTGTATCTTTACCTGGGTACTTGTGTCTGTCTCTGTATCTTTACCTGGGTACCTGTGTCTTTCTTTGTATTTTTGCTTGTGTAATTTCTATTTGTCTCTGTCTTTCTGCTTGTGTATCTATGCCTATTTCTTTATCTTTGCTTGTGTATCTATTCTATGTCTCACGGTCAGGATTTGTTGCTTCTCTTTGTCAAAAATCGATCATGCTCACTGTCAGATCTGTATGTCTATGCCTGTCTCTGTATATATGGCTGTCTTTGTATCTATGTATACCTCTGTGTACTTAATATCTATGTCTGTCTCTGTATCTATGTCTGTCTCTGTATCTATGTTTGCATCTGTATCTTTGTATATCTGTGTACATAATATCTATGTCTGTCTGTGTATCTATGTCCATCTCTGAATAAATACTGTGTGTGTAGCTACGTTTGTCCCTGTATCTGTGCTTGTCTGTGTATCTAGTCTGTCTGTGTATAAGGGGGGTTGGCGGGTGCTCTGGTGTGGTTTGCTCCTTCTTTCATATCAAACATATATCGTCCTGATCTCTCGACTCCTTCTTTTTGTGTTTGTTAGTCGCTTGTAACCGCTCTAATCTTCGGCACTTATATGACCTTTTTGTGTTGCAGTTACCGTACACTCTTACTATAACTAACTGTCTGTGTATCTATGTCTGTCTATATATCTATTTCTTTCTGTGCATCTATGTCTGTCGCAGTATAAATACTGTCTTTCTCTGTATTTCTCTCTGTCTCTGTATAAATACTGTCTTTGTAACTATGCCTGTCTCTGTATCCATGCCTGTCTCTGTATCCATGTCTGTCTCTGTATCTATGTCTGTCTCTGTATTTATGTCTGTCTCTGTATCTATGTCTGTCTCTGTATCTATTTCTGTCTGTGTATCTAATGCCTGCTTATGTATCTATGTCCACCGCATTATAAATACTGTTTTTCTCTGTATTTCTGTCTCTGTATAAATACTGTCTTGTTATTACGTCTGTATCTGTATCTGTGTCTGTCTCTGTATCTATGCCTGTCTTTGTTCACACCTGTCTGTATGTGTATACCCAATGGAAAGACACCACAAACCACATTTTACAGTACAGGTACAATACCTGATACTTCATTGTACAGTACAGATACAATACAGGATACCACATTTTTCAGTCCGGATGCAACTCTTGATAACACATTCTATAGTACATAATAGTATGCAGTGACGGTGGTTGGTGGGTACTCTTGTGAGGTTTGCTTTACTATTAAACATTTACGGTCCTTATATTTCCTATTTCTTTTTTCATGTTTGTTACTCTTTTGCAACACTTCTAATCTTCGGCACTTATATGAGAGGGCGGTTCGATTGCGCCACTTGGAGGTCCTACTTCTTTTCCTTCCTCTCAGTTGTTTCTGTCTGTCTGTCTTATTTTTCCCCAGCACTAAATGACCATTGTGGTGTCGATGTGCTTCTCTTTACTTATACAAACAAAGCACTTATATGACCTAATTGTGTTGCAAGTGCCGTAAAACTTACTAGGTGGATGGTTGGAGGGTGCTATGGTGTAGTCTACTTCTTTTTTCGTATTAAACATCTGTCGTCCTTATCTCTCATTCTTTTTTGGGTTTGTTACTCTTTTGTAACGCCTCTAATCTTCGGCACTTATGTGACCTTATTGTGTTGCAGGTGCCGTAAGCTCTTACTAAAAGTTTAAAAAAGCACTAATATGATCTAATTGTGCCGTAAAACTTACCGAAACTTTAAAATCAGATACAGTTCTTGTTGTCCACTAGGTCGTAGACAGAGCGCCTTACGGGACAAGTGAGTCCATCCTGGACCAACATGGCTGCGACTTTTGTGTGCACGGGGGTGAGTGGTAGACAGTGGTAATACCTGAACTAACACGTTTGTGGTAGACTGTCGTTATATCTGAACAAACAATTTAGTGGTAGATTGGTAATTCTTGAACGAGCAAGTTAATGGTAGAATGCAGTAATACCCGAACAACAAGTTAATGGTAGACTGTGGTAATGTCTGAATTGACAGTGGTAGACTGTGGTAATACCTGACCAAACAAGTCTGTGAAAGACTCTTGTAATACCTGAACTAACAAGTTAGTGGTTGCCTGTGGTAATACCTGAACTAACAAGTTAGTGGTTGCCTGTGGTAATACCTGAACTAACAAGTTAGTGGTTGCTTGTGGTAATACCTGAACTAACAAGTTAGTGGTTGCCTGTGGTAATACCTGA